ATTTTCGATCGTTTTTTTTGATGTGAAAATGAAAAAAAAACTTTTTTTTCTTCTTCTTACTTTCGAATCAATTTTCTTCAAATTCTTCTTTCACTTTCTGCGTGTGTTTTGTTTGTTTGTGTTTGTGTGAATTACGTTCATCAATAACCATATCAATGGACGATGGTTTTCCTGAATTAGAATTGACAAACAAGAAAATGAAAATGACATGTTTTTTTCCACTGAATTCCTTTTCATATTCATATTGGTGAAAAATTTCACTGACATTTGTTTGTTTGTTTGTTTGGTCATTTATCTTCAAATGAGAAAATCTCTCTCTCTCTCTCTCTATCTCTCTCTCTCTCTTTGCAATGATGATTATCCAAATATTATTCATTATTACTCGATCTTCCGCTTCTTTCTTTTTTGATTATCATTTCAAGAATTTTTCTGAAAAGATTTTTTTTTCTCTTCAAGAAATTTTCTCAGGAAAAAATAATAACAAAAAAAATATTCATTCATTTCTCAAATTCATCTGCATCTAAGGCTGTCAAACTTTATATTTTTCCAATTTTCATTCGTTCTTTTCCATAATGATGATGGTAACATAAAATGGAAATGAAAACGAAAACGAAACAAAAAAAAATTCTTGAAATTGACTTGTTCACTTTTTTTTCCATTGCACACACACTATCGATGTTCAATTTTTCAAAATCAAGATCGTAAAAAGAGAGAGAGAAATCCTTGCATCTTCTTTTCTTTTTCTTTTTCTTTTTCGGGCTTTAAATTCATTTCATCTCCATACTGATTCTTCGTATTTCTTTTCTTTCCTTCTTCTTCTTCTTCTGATCATCATCATCCATCTCTCTTTTCTTGCATATAGTTTTTTCTTTTTCCTTTTTCTGAGTTTGTTTGGTTTTTCTATTTGAAGCACTTTGCATTCATTTTATTTCGAAAAAAACGGAAAAAACGGAAAAGAAAAAAACAACCCAAAATGATAAATGTTTCTTGTTTTTCTTCGTTTCTCTCTGCTGCTGCTGCTGTTGTTGTTGTTCTGTGGATTCTTGAATTTATTTCTTCGGTTTTTTTTCTTCTTCTTGTTGTTTTTCCCCTCATTCGATATTCTATATTCGCCCCCCAAAGAAAATAGATAAAACATTTTCTCGATTTAGCAAAAAAAAAAAAAAAAAAAAATCCAGAGAAATATTCCGAAAGTTTTTCATTTCAAAATTCAATTTTTCTTTTCAATTTTTTACCTGTTGTTGTTGTAATGCAATCATCATTCACCTACCTATATTACGCTTCAAAGCAAACACAAAAAACTATTGGCTTTTTTACTGTCAGTTTGTTTATCGTTTTGTTTGTTTGATCTAAATTCCTATTTGGCCTGCTGCCTGCCATACATATTTTCATAATTATTCTTTGTTTGTCCAATGGTCATTCACTTGGATGCGAAAAAAAGGGAAAAAGAACGATAGATATTATTAATAGTGTCGTTTGGCGTCCTTCTTCTTCTTCTATTCCATATCCCACACACACCAAACAAAACAAAACAAAACAAACAAAGAAAAACATTGTAATAAAATGAATTTACCCAAAAAATTCACTGAATTTTGAAACCTACTTTTTTTGTTTGTTTGTTTATTTTTCAAATGTTATTCTTTTTTTGTTTTTGTATTTGGAAAGGAAAGAAAAATTGTATTTTTCTTTCGATTCATACAAAAACTCAAATGATGATCAATCATTTTTGCTCTATATTTTTTTCCAAGTTTTTTTTGGGATTTTTCAACCGATATTAGTAGTAGCAGTAGTTTGTTAGGTAATGGTAGATAGTAACCAAAACAAAACTGGTTACATTTGGTTGGTTCGAATTGAAACAAACAAAAAAAAAATGTTACCAGTATTTTGATGATGATTCTTGTTAAGTTTTGAATATATTCTTTTCTTTTCGATTCTATGTCAGAATTCCAATGATGACAAATTGAAACTTTTCTGGTTTTCATTTCACAGAATACACATTAAGAATCCTGAAATGAAATTCCTTTGCCTTTGATGATGAATGTTTTTTTTGTTTCAAATGAAATTCAAATAATAATAATAATTCTGTTGGCCACAAGAATTTCGACAAGAATTTTTATTTCGCAAAAAAAAATTCTTTATGTCATTTCTAAAATGTGAAAAAAAGGAAAACTTTTAAAAAAAAAAATTCTTTTTCCATATCGATTTGGCAGTTTTATAATTATAAAATAATCATCCAAATCATCATCATCCGAGTCGAAATTGTAAAAAAGAAAAAATTAATTTTGTTAAAGAAAAAAGCGAAACACAGAATTTCATGAATTTACAAGTTACGGTTTGACAGTTTTTCGTTTGACTTTTTTTTTGAGAAAATTCTTTGAAAAATGTTTCTTCAAATTCATTCAAATTCAACTCTTTATTGCCAAAGGAAAATTAATTTCTTCTTCTTCTTATTCTGCCTGTTTCTTTGCTCAAATTTTCCAATTAAATTAAATGATCATCGTCGTCGTCGTCGTCTTCGTCTTCGTGTGTTTGACTTACAAAATTGACAAAATTTTTTGAACTTCTTTTTTTTTGCAAAATTCATATTAGTTTTGGTTGGTGGAGAATTTAGTTGATTCCAAATTTTTTTCTTTTTCTTTTCTTTTTTTGGAATCGATTCTTTTCATTCGCTTTCTTGCCAATCAATGAGTGAAAGAAAAGGGGTTACATAATCCAAAAATAGTCACGTAAAACGTAACTGGTTTTTTTTCATTTTTTCTTTTTGTTGCCAGAAATTACACACAGAGAACAAAAACAACGGAGTTTTCATTTTACTTGTATTGATTGAAAACCTTTCAAACTTTTCATTCATTCATTCAATGAATCTTTTGATTTCTGAAATGAAAAATAGTACAGATCATCAATGAACTAACCACAATGCCACCACTATCGTTATCTTGTCTTTGAGGATGATTGGACAATCAATTGGCTAATTTATTGGAAATCAAACTAAAACCAAAACCAAACAAACAAACAAACAAAGCAAACGAGAGAAACAAAAAACATGAAAACTTTCAATCCACATGAACATACTTATCTTGTTTTTTCTGTTTCTTCTCTTCACTTCTGAGTGAAAGTTATGAAAGTTTATAAAAGTTCAATTCATAATAATCATCATCATCATTTCTTTTGATTTTAACTTGATTTAACAAGCCAAACAAACAAAATAATAAATTTTTTTGGGTGATTCTTCTTTTTTTGTTTTTGGACTTGAAAACCAGAAAACCAAAAAAAAAAAAAAAATTTCAATTAGTTATTGCATAGATCAAACAAACAAGGAAGAAACTTGAAATACCAAAACAAAAATGGCCCAAAGCAATTATTTTGCTAATGGTAATAGCATTGGTGGTGGTGGTGGTCAATTAAATGTAATCAAATGATGTTTTGTGACCCACGCACACACACATAGAGATTGATTATCCATTTCCAATTTATCTCTCACACACACAACCCAAAGAATCAAATAAAAAGCGAAAAAACCATTAATGAAATTCATTATTTATTTATCATCTTCATTTCATTTGATTTCAATGAAATTCTTTCTTTTCTTTTCTTGTTTCCGGAGAGAACGATAATGATCAACATTTTTTTTTTGTTTGTTGAATTTAAAATTAAAATCTCAAAAACAACAAAACAAAAAAAATTTTATAATGATTATTTGATTTCGGTAAATTTGATTATCTCAATTTTTTGCGATTCAGATAAATCCAAATCAGATAATGATGATGATTGTCATATGATTTTGGTTTGTTTTTTCTCTTTTGGTTTTACTTGATTTTTTCTCGGTTTAATGATGATGAGATTGTATATGGCAGTGACTGTGTCATTCGGATTCTTCGAAAAGAAAATAATTAAATTTGCTTTTTTGTTTTTGTTTTTGCTGGATAACAAAATCGCAAAACACAAAACACAACCTATCTATACAGTATCTAGTATGTGGTATAGAGTAGTGATAGTAATCATCATCATTATCATTATTATTATTATTGATTTCTATTGAGAATTCATTATTCATTCATTCATTCATTTTTTCTGTTTTTGTTTTTATTTATTCATTTTCTATGTTGCGTGATTGTATGATTGTGTGAGTGGGTATCCAAAAAGTCTTTTTGGACTATCAAAAAAAAAAAAAGAAACCATAACATCTTTATCGGGTTTTCGGTTTGATTTGATTGCAGCGATATTTCCTACTGATTGAATTGCAAAACAAGTGAATGCAGAGAGAGAGATGCGAAGAGAAATGGAGAAAAAATGAACTCCAAAATAGAAAGAGAAAAAATCATTTGGGGATGATATTCGCGCTGGGTTTTCTTGTTCAAATTCTGTTATTCTTCTTCTTCTTTCTTTATCATTTGATTAGTTTAATCATCATCATCATCATAATGAAATTATTATTCTGTTTTTTCGGTGCAACCGAAAAGAATCCAAGGAATCGTGAGGAAGAAGGGAGAAAAGGCGTACAGATTTGATTAAATCTTTCTCTTTCTCTCTCACTCTGGGTTTCTTCAACTAAACACACACAAAAGTCTAGCAGTTTTTTTTTGCTTTGCCTGTCTAACACTGATGATGAAGAATCGGGGTGATCGATTGATTGATCGATCGTTCGATCGATCGATAACTATCATCATCATTATTTTTTTTTTGTTTTTTTTTTGGATGTGAAAAATAAAATCCATCACCATCATCATCATGATGATCAGATTAGAAATACACACATCCAATTCATATTCATTTATTAATGAATTCGTGTGTGTGTGTGTTTTTGGCTAGGAAAATCAGAATCCTCAACCTAAAAATGAATAAATGAATTTTCGATTAGAAGATTTGGCTGTTTGAATGGAGAAAGTACTGGTGTTTTATGTAATGAATTGAATATAAATCGAATTGAATCTATTTTTCTAGTTTTTGTTTGTGGAACTAATGTTTTTTTTATCTATTTTTTTTATTTGTTGATAAAATAGGATCCACCAGATCCAAGAGTATTACCCGAAGAGCTTGATTATGGTGGTTTTGATGTTGCATCAACTGGTCCAGAACGTTTGAAACGTGTTCGTGTTGGTTATTATCAATGGGCACCATTAATATTATTAGTACAAGGATGTTGTTTTTATGTACCATTTTTAGTTTGGAATAGTTGTGCACATAATGCCGGTGTTAAACTAAGACGTTTATTAAAAAAAGCATCCGATATTGCATCACTGCCACCTGGTTGTCAACAACGTGAAGCATTATTAGCTGAATTTGTTGATCAATTTCATACATTGGTTACTGGTGAAGCTGGTTGGTGTACAGATCCAAGTTGTCGATTACCATTATCGTGCCGTTGTTGTATTGGTGGTCCAAGCCGTTATCTGTGCCTACTATATCTATTGGTTAAGAGCCTTTATGTGCTCAATGTTGCCCTACAATTTATATTACTTGGTTCATTTATGGGTAGAGGTTTTCTTCGTCATGGTTTAGAATTAATGAGAAGATTTATTGTTGAAGGTGATTGGTGGGCATCACCAAGATTTCCATTACAGACCTTGTGCCAAGTAAGAGCCGCTATACAAGGCGGTTTACGTACATATACATGTCAATGTGTATTACCTATCAATGTATTTAATGAAAAAATATTTTCCGTTGTTTGGTTCTATCTTGCATTTTTAATGCCTTTGAATGTTGCCTCATTATTATTTTGGTTATGGCGTACATTCCGTTGTAATCGTCTTGCCTATGTTCGTTTATGTTTATGGCGTACAAGGCTAGTGTCCATGGCTGAAGTTGGTCGTCTTGCACGTAAAATTTCAACCAATTATTTAGGTTGGGATGGCGTTTTTGTCTTACGTATCATTGAACACAATCATGGTTCCATTATGGCAACATTGATTGTTTCAAGACTTTGGGAATTTTATGCCAATCAAATGAAAATGCAAGAAGATGGTGGTGGAGGTACAGGTACGGCAAATGGATCGGATGCTGAAGTCGGATCAGTAGCATCAGTTGGTGCACCACCATCTACCTCATGGCATTCATGTCATGCAGCCGCTTGTCATGCAACCGGTCATCATCATCAAACATCAGCATCGGCTGCAGCAGCAGCAGCCGCAGCAGCTGCTGCTGCTGCGGCTGGCTATGCTGCACCACCAACACCAGTATCAGGACCACCACATTCACATCATCAACATCAATTAACATCAACGAATCCAAGAAAAAACATTCCACCAAATGGTTTTTGGAAATGACCACAACAAAACAAAAACAAATAAACAAAAATCAAAATAATCATATTTCAGAGATTGTTTTCTTCATTACTTTCTTTTTTTTCCAAAAAAAAAACAAAATTCATCATCATTGTTATACACTGACTGACCAGACACACTGACCAGATACACAGACGCACATTGAATGGCGAAAAAAAAATTGTTAATTAATTTATCTGTTATTTGTTAATCGTTGATTGATTGATTGATTGATTGTCACAAACTTGTATTTTGTTTGTTTGTTTGTTTGTATGATTGTTTATTTGTTTCATTTGATTCATTGATCTCTGTCTTCTGTTCCTTTTTTTTCTGTTGTTGTCTGTTTGTGGGCGGATCTTGGACCAGCTAACGCCCCCATTGTTTGATCATCATTTGGACGAAAGATTTTTTTTTTTTTTTTGATTATTATCATCTCTCTCTCGCTCTTTGTTTCCTATTTACATCAAACATTATCTTCATCATCATCATCATCATTTGAAGCAACAACTAGTCATCATCATTACCATCATCATTCAATTATCATATGCATCAGATTTTTTTTTTGGTCTCATTTTTGATTCATTCAACACACACCCACATTCATTGATTGCATCAAGCCTTCAAACATCAAAAAAAAAACAAACCAGAATTTTTTTTTGTTGCTGCAATATTTTTTTCTTTGCATTGCATTGGATCAACCAACCACACTAATTTGTACAATTTATTGATCCATCATCCACCATCATCATCATCATCATCATCATCATTATCATCGCAAACCAATTGCACACACACAACATTCGTCGTAATCATTATTTTTTCTCTCTTTCTCTTTCTCCAAAACAAAGATAACGAAAATTTACTCAAGTAAGTTTCAAAGAAATTATTTATGTAAATTTTTAAATTTTAATTTTTCAAAATTTTTCTTTTCGTTTTTCCCCATATAAAAATTGAACTTGAACGCCATCTATCCGCCAAAGGTCTGTACTATTTTGGAATTTTTTTTTTCTATACAATTTTTTTTTTCGCTCTTATCTCTTTATCTCTCTCTCTTATCTCTCTCATTGTTGATGGTGTTCACACATCTATTTTTCTCTCATTCTTCTACTTTTTTTCATCTTTTCTTGGCTAAACTAAACTAATTTGATTGTTGTTATTGATGATGATGATGATTTAGTGCAAAAAAAAACTTAATTCATCAGCATCCGCATCTGCATTGTTTTTTTTCTTGTTCATCATTTTTTTTCTCTTCTCTCATTTTAAATATCACATCAAACAAACACTTACCGACACACACACACACACAATGGATCTCGATTTCAATTTTTTTTCTCTGTTTTTTTTTTGTTGTTGTTGTTGAAAATATTTTGAATTGAAACGAAATACCAAAAAAAAAAATGTTCGTTTCGTGAATGCTCATTTATCACACACCTACCCACATCCACGCCCACATTCAATCATCCAATCATCATTCGATCGATTCGATTCAAATTCGTCTAATGCAACCAAAACAGGACCAAGCAAACCAACCAACCGAAATCCAAATGTAACTCAGATGTAACAAGTATGACACGCACAAAACTATTTCCTTAAAATGATCTTTGATTTTGCAGTTATCATTTTGTAGTTCTCGTTGTGTATTGCCACTCCCACACACACACACGCCCACAAAAAAAATTATTACCAAAATAATCAAATCATGTCTTGATCATCATCATCATCATCATTGCCCATTATCATATATTTGAATTGTTAAATTTAGATGTTTTTTTTAACTGGTTACTGTTACTGAAATTTTTTCAATTCCAAAAAGATTCTATTTGATTTTGTTGTTTTTCCATGAAGAAAATGAAGCAGATATGATACTTGAACTTTTGTTAATCATTCGGTGTGTGTGTGGGCACACACGCACATTATTCATCAATTTGTTTATCATTTTTTTGGTCGATAAACAAAATCAATCGATCGATCAATAAACATTGTTTGAACACACACTTTGCATCATCATTCAATCATTCAAAGCCCTAAAGTAAATGAAAAGAAAGAAAAACATAATAAGATAAGAGATAGGATTGGATTGGATGTTAGAAGATCCATCATTATTCGTCAGACAATAATGAAAAGACAGAAGACAAAAAGGCAATCAGGAAAATTGGGTCTTTTCGCAGAAAGAAAGAAAATAAATTCTTGTTGAGAAATTTCAAGTTTTACATTTACATTTTGCAGAATAGACAGAATCTCTTTTTATAAATATTGTAATTTTTTTTTTGTTCATTCGATTCATTATTATCATCATCATTTTTACCTGATCTTTCTCTGCTAATAATTTCACTTTTTTGCTTTCTTTCTTTCTCTCTCTCTAAAATAAAATAAATATGAAACACACACCGAAAGTCTTTCAGAATTGTTTTTTGTTTTGTTTTGTTTTGTTTATCATTTTGTTTTGTTTATCATTTTGTTTTATTTATTGGATTTTGTTTTCTTTGGAGCAAAATACCACCACCATCATCACTACCTTGAAAACACACCCACCATATTTTGAAGCCAACCAATTAGACATTTTTTTTTCTTTGGTTATTATGTTTTTTTTTGTTCAGCTACACCCACATTTAGCTACACGCCCACTTTGAATAGAATTAGAGTAACATAAGTACAGGTGGGTGGATAAATCATTTGTCACACCCCCACCGACAACACCCATACCTTTTTTTTGAAACGCAACTGAACTGCAATTCATAAAACACTGAACATCAATTTACGGAAAACAATAAAAAAAAACCCCAGTGAAACAACAAATCATTCCATCATTTCTTCTCCTTTTCCCCCTCTCTTTTTCTCAACCTGAATTAATCTGAAATCTGTAATAATAATAAAACCCCGGTTATACAAAACAAAAAATACAAACAAGGAATGTTTTGGATTTTGCAACTTGCAACGTATGAATCGAATATCGATATGATTGATTGATTGATTGATAGGTGGATGGATGGATGGACAATTCGCCATCATCATCATCATCATCATTAGCATCAATTTCATCCGCATCACCACCATCATCTGCATCATTATCATCATCATCCGCATCAATTTTAAAAAAGAAGAAAAAAAAAGACATTTTTTCTTTCGTTTTTTTTGTCTCTTTTAATTAATTAATTAATTAATTATAATTACCTATTAATAATTTAATAATTATAATTTCTGTATGTAATATTTAAAATTTAAAAACAAACAAAGCAACAACAAACAACAATTACAACAACAAAAAAAAAACACAATTACAAAATTACAAAATTACAAAATACAAATACAAAACTGCTGAAAAAAATTATTTATAATTATATTTAAAATTTTAAAAATTGTCAATAAATAAATAAAAAAAATGTGAGAAACAAATCTAAAAATCAAAAAAAAAGAAGAAGATTTCATTTTCATTTTTCCCAGGTAAAAAACTTTACGGAAAAACTTGATTGAATCAAGCTAAAAAAAGTTGATCCTATTTTCTTTCATATGAATCTTTTGGCATCATCATCATTATTTATCGTTGTCATCGATAAATCGAAGAAAAAAGTGAATCTTTATTATCGATCAAGTGGTGGGGAGGAATCCAATCATTCAATCATCATCATCATCATTTTTGGTTATAATGAAAAATATTTTTTCGTTTTTGTTTTTATTCATTGGATCATTAGGATTTTCCATTTTGAAAATAATAATAATAATGGAAAACAAAACAAAAACAAAAAATGATAATCTTGTTATATTTGAATGAATTTTTTGTTTTGTTTTGTTTTGTTTTGCTTTGGCTGTAGCATTTACATCCTGGAGCTATCACAAAATGATTGGCTTTTTGTTTTCTCATTAAATTTTCTTCAATACCTGGCCGATAGAAAAATAATAATGATAAATCCTCTTCAAAACAAACGAAAAAAATGACAATAGCAAAATCCACTTGACGATGATGATGAGGATCATATCCGATTGTGATAGAGTGGGGAAAAAACAACCAAAAACAACAAATCAAATTGACAGCCAAACTCTGAACAAATTTATTCATATTTTTTCTCCACCCCCTCTATTTTTTTTCTGGATCCATCTTTATTTCTGCGCTAGGAGGTGTTCGCTAATCAAAATCGATCTTCTTTCACCAGGAAAATAAAACCTATAAACAAAAAAAAAATCATGTTTCAAATAAGATTCAGGTAAACAAAAAAATTTACCTGAAAACCAAATGAAAAATGCTTGTTTTACCATTTGATCATGGTAATTTGATTTTCTCTCTTTCTTCATTGGATTTTGCAACAAATTGAATATATATTTGCGAATGAATGCATCATGGTATATATGAATGGGAACAAAAAGGAAAATGCCTGAATGCAATTTAGTTTTGATGATGATAATTATCAATTAGGATAATGATAATTAGTAATGTTGATCATAGTGGATAGTGATCATCATCATCATTATCATCATTATCATTATACAAAGATATATACATCCATTTATAATTTGAATCAAGTAAATTATCATTTTACAAACACAAAAAATACAAAAAAAATTTATTAGTAATGATAAATTAATGTATGAAATGTTCTTTCAATAATGATGATGATGATGTTGGTAATTCTACAAGGAATGGTTCCAAAGAAAACACATTAAATGAAATTAATCAAGGGAATTTTTTTTTTGTCCATCAATTCAATTCAAAACGCGTGACCATTATATATTATGTTTTTGATATTGTGAACATGATGCATACATTAAATTGATCAGGATCTAAATCTAATTTGATTGGATTGATTTCTGGAAAATTTCCTGAAAAATGTAATATTATTTTCTTCATTGAAAATTCTACGGAAATTCCCTTTTCAGGAAATAAGCCAAAATTTCTTTTGAAATCCCTTTTCTGATGGAAAAAATAACAAAATATCAAAATCTGGATTCATTTTTTTCTCTTGGTCCCATAATAATAATATGGATCGTCGCTCTTTGTCGCAAATTATATCTATCGTTTTGTTAGATA